AAGATCCTTCAGAGTAACTAAAAGAGCAGGGACAGAATGTGCTGCTCTTAGAGAAGGTCTTCGAAGTAACGGAAGAGTATGGAGTGGGTAGGATAATGAAGACTATGACGGAATGACTTGGTGAGTTTTGTTTGGAATGGTGATATTCAACTGTTTTGACCATAGCTCAACCCATCAGATCTTGGTGTAACAAAATGATTTTGTTTATCCTATGTTTTTAAGTTTAACAGATAAACTAAAAGTAGGCATTTTTAAAGTAAAATAGGATAAGTGAAGTAGACATTGAATTCTTACTCTTGACAAGCTGATTAGGAGGGGGAAAATATTGGTAAATAGATATTTTTTATGTAAAAAGGAGGTGGAGTCGTGTAATCACATCCTTCTATAGTGGTTGTAGGTGTATGAATTGTAGACCTTGACTTATGAGTTACTGAGCATCAGTTGGGTAATGGCTGGTTCGGTGAGAAAAGAGATTTGGGTGCAGAAGGATATTATCGAAGGTCAGAAATATGTTAGTCTCATTCCTTTTTTATATTTTGGGTAGTGTGGAAAGAGAAAAACTGGAGAGTTTTTGAGGGAGTAGAAGATGATTTTGATAAGACTAGAGATAAATGGTTATAGACCCTGAGTTTTTTATTTATGGATCATCCTTTTATTCTATGGAAGATTTTGGAAATTTTATTAATATTTTGATTGGCATGTACTTCGTTTGATTATTGGGGGACAGGATCTGTTTTATACGTTTGTATCTCTGTTTCCTTGAATTCTAAGGAAACAAGATCTCGAGTCTAGTGGACAAATTGTGATCGTATGATCAGAGCGTGATTAATGATAGAGGCGGTTCTGAACCATTGATCCTGGAAATGATCGTTCCCAGTTGGGTTTGGGGAAAGAGAGAATCGTGAACTCAGGAAACTCTCCTCTCTCTCTCTCCCAATTTTTTCTTCTTTCTCTCTCTACAAAATATCTTTTTCTCTCTCTCTTAAAATATCATCTTCCTTCTCAAATTTTCTTTTCTTCCCCTACTATTTCATTATTTCCAAACGTTTCCCCCCATAATCTTAACTTTTCAAAATTACCCCACAACCATTTTAAATTTAAAATTTTTCCTACTTTCTGGTTTTGGAGAAGTACATGTCAAAGCTGGGTCTTAACATCCTCTTTCCCCATACAACTACAAGTACCACAATGGCAAATGGATAAGCAAGGCAAAGCGTCCGAAAGCATAGGGTGTGCAAAGTGAGCAAAAGCAAGAGAGGGCAGCTAGAAAGGCATGCAAGAGGTGTGGTGCAAGTAAGGATAAGGTGCAAAGAGGAGAAAAATGCTAGTGAGAAGCACCTAAGAAAAAAAAAAGAGCAGAAAGCAATAGTATTGAAAAAGAGGGAATGCAAGAATCTTTTTTTTTTTTTGAGAAAAATTGCAAGATTATAGGAGCAAGGCTTTCAGTGTCTATCTGGTAGTCTAGGCTTGGAGACATGATTTATAGGATCCGAGAATGATCATAAAATAGTTGTACTCATTTTGTCACTATGCTCTATGCTTATTGGATATAGTAATACTCTTATGGTGTCAATTAGAGACTGCAAAGAAACATTAGAGAATACCTTTAATTTTATTCCCTAATTCCCTAACATATGTTTTAATATATAAGTTGATTCACATCTTCTAACCAAAATAAAGATTACCCGCATGCATTATAGAGTATATGATTTTCAGTCTATCCCACTCTGAAGCATTTATGGGGATCAACAGAGCTAAGCCACATAATGTAAGGTACCTTGCTCTTAGTGAGAACCAAATAAGATAGGAAAACACATACTACGTACAAATGAAACGGGGTAAAGAGAATATGAATTTCAGGAATGCTAACTTTACTTATCATTGTCTACTCAGTAAAGGATACATACAAATGTACAATTTGGAAGAGTAATGGCATGGAATATCTAACGAGCCCATCAGCAAACATCTCTACCAACTGAAAGAATTTCAGATGAAGAACATTACTTAATTAGAACTCCTTCTCTTTCACCAATTTCCTAGCATTGGCTGCTACATGTCCATTTGATTCTTGCTACATCGATTCCCCAACATTCAAAGGATTGATCTTCTTAACTGCCAAAACTATAAGTTTAATTTCGCTGCAAATTTAGTCTTCTTAACTGCCAAAACTATTAGTTCCATCTCGCTGCAAATTTAGTCTTCTTAACTGCCATAACTATAAGTTCCATCTCGCTGCCAATTTAAGTCATAAACTTCAGATTCTGAACTCTTAGATTTCTCCTCACCTTTATTGTTTCCACTAAACCTACTGTCACCATTAGTATCCATCAAACGACCATCCCCTCTTTGTTTCCGATCAAAACCAACTTGCCTTAAGTCCGCTCTAAGTCTGTTCCTCTTCCTCCTCAATCTCCCACCACATCTCCCTCCAGTTCGCATAACTCCCCCGGTCATTTCCACAGACTTTTTATTCTCATCAGCACGTGGGACCATTTTTTCACCACCCAGTTCATCAACAGACTCGGCAATCTTTCCATAGGGCTTCAAGCTGTGGACAACCCCTCTAGGGAAGAACCTGGCGGAGGGCAAGCCGTCCACAGTCTGGAATAGCTGCGGCCCGTCCTTCTCGGTCCATAAGTCAAACCCCCCAGGGCGCTGGAAACGGTCGGCCAAGACCTTGACCTGCTCATCAGCGCTGACAGAGAACAGATTGGGTGCCCTCTCGACGACTTCCCATGGTCTCTCGAGCTCCGCAACGGCGGCCTTGAGCTCAGCCCTTTTGCGCATCTCGTAGATTTGGCGCTCGCGGCAGAGACGGGCCTTGAGAAGCTGCTTTGCTTTCTTAGCTTGCATCCGCTTCCACTGCCACTTGGATACCCCTCCCGGATAAGTTCTTGGGCCACCCCCCATGCGGATTATGATTGGTTTATTGACGGGCGGCGCATGAATGGAAAGACCAGAGAGCTTCGTGGAGAGGAAGAGAGAACTTGTTGCGAATGAAGATGAGAGTGTTTTTGAGAATGAGAGCTGCATTTGCAGAATCGAAGACATTAGCCACAAAGATGCGACTCTTTCTGGGCGGAGTTTGGCCAGAAACTGTAGATTCACTAGATTACAACTGTGCAGCGCCAAGGACGAATTATATGGTTTAGTGGCTTTGATACAGGCGATTAAATAAATATATAATTCATTTTGACAATATGCAACCAAGCACCAGTGGTCTAGTGGTAGAATAGTACCCTGCCACGGTACAGACCCGGGTTCGATTCCCGGCTGGTGCATTTCTTTTTCTTCGCTTTAAAAACTTTTGTCATTAATATTTCATAATCGAATAGAAAGAAACATTACCAAAAAAGATTAACTATTTAATCTAATCAACACACTACGTCCTGTTTCCCAGGCGTTCAGTTCCTAAACATATTATTTTACTGTTCTTAATTTTGCTTGATTAGTGATTTAAGTTAAAAATTATCTTTTTTAACTTTTTTAAGTGTTTGTTTGAATGTAGTTTTTTTTATTTATTTATTTTTAAAACACTTTGCAATTAAACGATAAAATTAAAAACATTTTTGTCTAAAGTCAAAGTTAAAATTTTCTTTTTGTTTAGATTTAAACACAAAAGTTAAAAGAATATTAACTTTTAAAAAATTACTTTTGTTTTCAATATTTTATGTTCAGTACTATCCTTAGTTAATTTACAAATTATATAATTTCGTTTATTTCACTTCGTTCAATTATCTTCCACTGTCATTGTCAATTGCCCATTATCACTCCAAGCCTGACCTCTACCCACTGTATGCTACTCTCTATTAGCCATCATACACTACCCTTCAACTGGTCGGTTCTTGAAAATTTAAATATTATTAAAACTAAAATATTAGTTAATTAATTTTTATTCTCAATATTATTATACTTGTAGTAATTCAAATTAAATTTCTCTTTTTTAATTAATTTTTTATTAAATACATATGTTAAATATATTGTTATATTTACAAATTTATGTTAATATTAATATTAATATTAATATGAAGTAATTTTGCACTTGTATATGTTATTTTATAAATAACTATTGTAATTAATTTTTTTGATATATCTTACATTATCTCAATATCTACAACTATTTTATCAAACACACAATTCTGATTTGATTTATTTTTTTCTTATACTCTTTCGGGTAATTTCAACACTAACTATTATTATAAAACAATAATCAGTCTCTACTTTTTAATGTGATTGTATTTTTTTAAAATTATTTTTATCAAACATTTAATAACTTGTGTGTAAAAATAATTTTACTCAATAATTATTTTAATATCTTTAAATTCATAAAAGAAAGTTATAAGTATTATCGAGCACATCGTAAATAATCTATAGCAAATGTAGATACATTTATTTAAAAATAACATTTAATTTATAAAATATGCTTAAAGGTTAATACGTCCCTTATGTCCTTTTCAAAATCATCTACAAATATGAACATACTCCAAACTCATAAGATTCCAACACCATATCATTATATTTTTTTTTCAAAAGATCATATACCCAAATATACTTAACGTCATAATCTTTAGTGTTTAAACAAATTATTTGTATTATTTCTTTAAATGTCTTAGTTATACACACATTGAGGTGTATTTTCTGATGAAGTTTATATGTCTAATGAGTTACGTATTCTATTTAAAAATAGTCGTAAATTATTTGATAAAAGTTCAAAAGTATGACTAGGTATTATTTTCTTGACAAATTTTATAACACCTAGTGGTTAGAAGTCATTTTCTTAAAAATTTTACTACAATTTATGGCTATGTGTCATTTTGTGGAGTGTTCGAGAGTTGGTTACCATTTTAACTCTAGAAGAAACATAAATAACCAAAATACGCTTTTAGAAGGGGTTGGTGAGAGAATTTGAGATTTTGAATAACTTATCTATGATTTCATTGTTTTGATATTGATTTAATTTCCTCAATTTAAAGTAAGTGACTTATTATAGCATGATTTGTATTAGTTTTTGTTGGTATTCCTCCTACTTAATTTTTTATTTGGATTATTCATTTTAAATAATATAACCTCATACTTTGCTCAAATTGATGTTTGAACTTTTAAGAAATTAGATGATATATAATTTTGATTTGCTTTCATCATTATTACGGTGGAAATTTATTTATGTCCGTCTATATAGAAAACATATATCCTATATATATATATGATTTATATTAATAATTGTTGATTTTTTACTGTTATGTCATAATTATTTATTTACTAAGATGTGTATCTCATTATTTTAATAATTATTTCAGATAAATAAGTTTATAACACAAAAACAAATCTTAGAGATAAAATTTTGAAGAGTTGATAGAGTTAGCTAATCCAATAAAACTCTATGATCTT